TAATAAATTATTAAAAATGTGCTTTGATCAACAAATCAGTTTAAATTTCACAAATGTGATGTTTCACCTCAAAGATCCACACTTTGTACACTCACTTTCTTTTCTTTTCTTTTTTTAAATTTCTTTTTTAATATTTTTTTTTATTGATTTTTTACAGAGAGGATGGGAGAGAGATAGAGAGTTAGCAACATCGATGAGAGAGAAACATCGATCAGCTGCCTCCTGCACATCTCCTACTGGGGATATGCCCGCAACGACGGTACATGCCCTTGACCGGAATCGAACCTGGGACCTTTCAGTCCGCAGGCCGACGGTCTATCCACTGAGCCAAACCGGCCTCGGCTGTACACTCACTTTCAAGTACTCCAATCAAAGCATGGAATGAAACAAAGCAAGAGAGAAGGAAATCACAACAGGTGCCTAGGAGAGGTGCTGCCCTGTCTGGCCCTCCCTTTACTGCCCCTCTAGACACTCTGCCCCCAGCACTCAAGGGCTTAGTGGCAAAACATTTATAGCATAACTTTTACTGTTTTAACTAGTTTTAAGTGTACAGTTTGATGGCATTAAGTACATTCACGTTGTACACCATCACCACTATCTCTCCAGAACTTTCCTCAAACTTCCCAAACAGAAATTCTGTACCATTAACTTTTAACTTCCTATCTCCCTCCTCCCTCCAACTCCTGGCGCCACCATTACACTTTCTCTCTTTATGAATTTGAGTATTTTAGGTACCTGATAGGAATGGAATCATAGTATTTGTCCTTTTTTTAAAAAAAATCTTCATTGTTCAGATTATTACAGTCGTCCCTCTTTTTCTCCCCATAGCTCCCCTCCACCCGGTTCCCACCCCACACTCTGCCTTTAACCACCCCCCACACTGTCCTCATCCATAGGTGTACAATTTTTGTCCAGTCTCTTCCCGCACCTCCCACACCCCTTCCCCCCCTAGAATTGTCAGTCCACTCCCTTTCTATGCCCCTGATTCTATTATATTCACCAGTTTATTCTGTTCATCAGATTATTTATTCACTTGATTTTTAGATTCACTTGTTGATAGATATGTATTTGTTGTTCATAATTTTTCTCCTCCTCCTCCTCCTCCTCCCCCTCCCCCTACCCTTCCCTCTCCTCCTCCTCCTTCTTCTTCTTCTTCTTCTTCTTCTTCTTCTTCTTCTAGAATACCTTTCAGCATTTCATATAATACTGGTTTGGTGGTGATGAACTCCTTTAGCTTTTTCTTATCTGTGAAGCTCTTTATCTGACCTTCAATTCTGAATGATAGCTTTGCTGGGTAAAGTAATCTTGGTTGTAGGTTCTTGGTATTCATCACTTTGAATATTTCTTGCCACTCCCTTCTGGCCTGCATAGTTTCTGTTGAGAAATCAGCTGACAATCTTATGGGTACTCCCTTGTAGGTAACTGACTGTTTTTCTCTTGCTGCTTTTAAGATTCTCTCTTTGTCTTTTGCTCTTGGCATTTTAATTATGATGTGTCTTGGTGTGGTCCTCTTTGGATTCCTTTTGTTTGGGGTTCTCTGCGCTTCCTGGACTTGTAAGTCTATTTCTTTCACCAGGTAGGGGAAGTTTTCTGTCATTATTTCTTCAAATAGGTTTTCAATATCTTGCTCTCTCTCTTCTTCTGGCACCCCCATAATTCGGATGTTGGTACGCTTGAAGTTGTCCCAGAGGCTCCTTACACTATCTTCATATTTTTGGATCCTTTTTTCTTTTTGCTTTTCCGGTTGGGTGTTTTTTGCTTCTTCGTATTTCAAATCTTTGACTTGATTCTTGCGATCCTCTAGTCTGCTGTTGGATCTCTGTATAATATTCTTTATTTCAGTCAGTGTATGCTTAATTTCTAGTTGGTCCTTTTTCATATCCTCAAGGGTCTCACTAAATTTATCGGCGGTTTCTAGAAAATTCTTGAAAAACCTTATAACCGTGGTTTTGAACTCTATATCCAGTCATTTGCTTTCCTCCATTTCTGTCATTTGTGTCCTGTTTCTTTGTCTCTGCATTTTTTATGCTTCCCTGTGTTGGTAGAGTGGCTTTCTGTGCTAGGTGTCCTATAGGGCCCAGTGGCTCAGCCTCCCCAATTACCTGAGGTGGACACTCTTGGTGCACCCCTTTGTGGGCTTTGTGCACAGTCTTGTTGTAGTTAAGCTTTGATTGTTGTTGGTATCACTGGGAGGAATTGACCTCCAGGCCAATTGGCTGTGAGAATCAGCTGTGTCTGCGGTGGGAGAACTTCTGTGTTGGAGACACCCTTCTGGGGCAAGACTTGCTTCAATGGGGCTTTGGTGCTCACTGAGTCTGCCCCCTGAGTGTGTCCCTTATGGATCTGAGGAGTTAAAATCTGGATGGTCCCTCTCTGACCACTGGGTACACTGGCTCTTGGATCTCTAAGGAGATGCTAATTTAGCCTCTGCCTGAGGCTACCCAGCAGGAACTATGGAGAGATCTGCAAATTCCTCTTATTTGTTTGGGATTTGGAGGTGCCCAGATGAGGCCCAGCTGTGAAGCAATGCAAGCTGCTGTGGGGCCTTGGGCCTTCTTTTGGATGTTCTGGGTCTCTCTGATCCAGCTGCAGTTTGTTAGGTAATTTTAGATTGCAAAGGGCCAGGCCATTCATATGCAAAAGCCTCTGTGCACAGCTTGGGTGGGACTGGGTCTCAGGGAATCAACAGGGCAGAGCAAACAGCTATAGCTGATCCTCAGTCCTGCCCTAAGAGGTCCCGGGTCTCAGTGTCCCGCGGCAAAAAAAAGGCCGCCCTCGAGTTCTGCCCGCCAGACAGTCCAGTTTCTCCCTGTATGAGTCTGGGTCCCCAGAGACTCGCCTGGAACTGGAGTTCAGAATGAAAAAGACAACCGTGTCCTCAGTTGCCAGCCCTTTCCTTGCGCGCCTCTGTACCTCTGCACTTTACTTCCACACTTCCTCTGAGTCTCAGTGTGCTTTTCTCTTTCCTTCTAGTTGTAGAATTTCCACTCAGCCAGCCTTCCTGGGGTTCTGGATGATGTCCGTTTGTCTTTTAGTTGTATTTTTGAAGTGGTTGTGTGAGGCAGCAATTTCAGGTGTTTATCTATGTCGCCATATTTGTCCTTTTGTTGACAGGTGTATTTCACTTCACATAATGCCTTCAAGGTGTAGCCATTTGTAATGTGTGTTAAAAATGAAGAATATTCCATTTTGTGTATAAACCACATTTTATCTCTTCATCCTTCAGTGGACACTCAGGCTGCCTTTACCTTTTGCCCATTGTGAATACGCTGCTAGGAACGTGGGTGCACAATTACCTGTCTGAATCCCTGCTGTCAATCCTTTTGAGTGGACACCCAGCAGTGGAATTGCCAGATAATATGGTAATTCTATTTCCTGCCCCACCTTTGAACCTCTCTCTTCACTTTCTCCTCTCAATCAAAACACACTCATCATCTGTCTTATTCTGTGGGAAGCTGCTGTCAGAAAGCTTCACCTGGAAAGCATCTGATCACGACAACGTATTCATAGCTGACAAGGCTTAGCATATCACCCTGCCAGGGACATCTGCATTTTAACAACTGCATTTTAGGAAAAGGAACGACTGCATCAAATGGTGGGTTTTCAAAGCAGCAACAGGCCTGGGGGGAGGGGGGAGGGCACATTTGAAGCAAGACGGCTCAGGAACTCTCATTACACCATTTCTGGTTTCCTCCTTTCTCACTCCCTAAATGTAGACTCCTCCCTCTTGCCTGTCCCAAGTCCTACCTTCACGTACCTTCTCTGCTGTATTTAATTCATCAACAAGCAACACCCTATTATAAACCCTCTCAATTCTCTCCCTGGGGGTTCCTCTCACCAGGCAGCGCATTGGTGCTGGGGAAGCCAGGTGATCCTCATCCAGCGATCTGGACAGCCCAACAGAATCTCCTTTCCTCCCAGGCCTCTCCCTCTCCCTAGGTTTCCAGTGTCTTAATGGCCCTGCAGTCTTTCCATGTTCAGGGGTTTGGCGCATCTCCGGCTTGTTTACACCTTCACCAAGTCCCGTTTACCCTGCATGCAGAACGGTTCCTCCTCTCGCCCTCTCTTCCACGCCATCCCAGTGGACTGACTACTCAGGCTCTGCCCACTACCTCCCAGGTCCCACTGCCCCACTTGCTGCATCTGCAGCCTGTGCTTACGTGTGCCAAGGCTCTCCACTGCCTAGGAAATGAAATCACAATTCCTCAGCTTAACTCTCAGCTTGACTCCAAATTACCTTTGCAGCGTTACCTCCCACTGCTCCCCTTAATGGACTCTCATCAAACTGAATCAAGTGCTGTTGGCTGAACACAGCTTGAAATACTTCACCTGCACCCTAATTCCTCTACTCAGCTGCCTCCCTGGTTCTCCCCCAAATACTTTTCCTATGAACTCCCACTGCATTTTATCTGCTCCGTAGCCACAGCGCATCTCAATTTGAACGTGTCTCTAAGAGCTCTTGCTTTTAATAGCTGTAAAAACTGCCTTCTTACCCTAGCCCAGCCGTGGGCAAACTACTGCCCGCGGGCCGGATCCGGCCCGTTTGAAATGAATAAAACTAAAAAAAAAAAAAAAAAAAGACCGTACCCTTTTATGTAATGATGTTTACTTTGAATTTATATTAGTTCACACAAACACTCCATCCATGCTTTTGTTCCGGCCCTCCGGTCCAGTTTAAGAACCCATTGTGGCCCTCGAGTCAAAAAGTTTGCCCACCCCTGCCCTAGCCGGTTTGGCTCAGTGGATAGATCGTGGGCCCGTAGACTGAAAGGTTCCAGGTTTTTCTCCGGCCAAAGGCACGGACCTGGGTTGCAGACTCGATCCTCAGCCCTGGTCAGGGTGCATGAGGAAGGCAACCAATCGATGTGTCTCTCTCACATTGATGTTTCTCTCTCTGTCTCTTCCCCTCCCTTCCACTCTCTCTAAAAATCAATGGGAAAATATCCTTGAGTGAAGATTAACAAAAAATAAAAAACACCAAAAAAACCCCTGTCCTGCTGGGCTTCGGGGTGGTTCCCATCGACCATGGCCTTCACCCTGTACTTGCTGCTGCAGGCGGCCCTGCTCTGCATCAACGCCATCGCGGTGCTGCACGAGGACCGATTCCTCAAGAACAATGCAGAATATTGTGGAAGAGAAGGGCAGTGACATGTTACCCTGTGGATCTGTGAAAGCTTCTGGGAGGAAGTGTGTCTAACCCCAGATCTGATAACTGGCTGGGGAACAGACCAGGGAATTGGTGGATTCGGAGAGGAGCCAGGAATTAAATCTCAGCTAATGAACCTTATTCGATCTGTAAGAACCGTAATGAGAGTGCCATTGATAATAGTAAACTCAATTGCAATTGTATTGCTTTTACTATTTGGGTGAAGATCAGTGGGGGAAATGGAGACTCAGAAGAAGAGATGTCAGCGGAAGTTATTACTTTCGTCTTTATTGGAATATATATACCTTAGCTGGCTGTCCCTGGCCTTGACAAAAATGTAAACATGATAATAAAACCAAAAAAAAAAACCAAAAAAACAAACAAACAACAAAAAACAAACAAACAAACAAAAAAAAACCCTGTCTTCTTCACTCCCCTGCTCATCCTTACTGGCCATCAACTTGAGAGTTGGGGTACCCAACCTCCCAGACCTTCCTTCAGAGTGGAGTACACTATTGTTTTTGCCCCATGACCATTACACATACTGACACTCTAGTTGGAACATCCCACCAACACATACACTTAATTACTCCTCCTCCTCCAGGTTACATCCGTGCCTTAAGGAGCCACCTTTGACTGCATTTCCCTTTTACAGTCTCCTAGTGCTTAACACAATTATAAATATGCATGTATTTTATTACTTTATTAAACTTATTCAATTATTTGCTTTTCACCCCATACCTAGAGGGCAACACTGTGCCTGTAATGTTCACTATTTTATCTCCAGTGCCCAGCAATATATATGGCACATAATAGGGGCTAAAAGAATGTATTTATTAAATTTATTAAAACATTTTGCTCTTTATAGCTTAGTCCATTTGCTGAAGAGACTGGAGAAGGTTCTCATGAAGCTTACACTTAATCCAACCTCCTCCATTTCCCCTCTCTGCCTCCCTCTCTCTTCTTAAAAAAAAAATACATTTTTATTGATTTCAGAGAGGAAGGGAGAGAGAGAGAAAAACATCAATGATGCTAGAGAAGAATTAACCGGCTGCTTCCTGCACGCCCCCACTGCGGATCGAGCCCACAACCTGGGCATGTGCCCTGATCGAAAATCTAACTGTGACCTCCTGGTTCATAGGTCAACGCTCAACCACTGGGCTATGCCAGTTGGGTTCTCTTTCTTTCTTAAAACGGGAGAGAGAGATAGGGAAGAAGCAGCTCTGAGAACCAATGCAAGGAGCAAAAAATAATTTATTAAAGAAAACTGTCAAAAATAAGGGACAATACTGCATTCATGAAATAAAAATAGAATTTTTTTAAGGGGACTATCACAGAATTCTTTCCTGTAAATAAAAATTAAGCTAGCCAAAACAAAAAATTCAATAGAATAAATGGAATATAAAGTTGAGGAAATTTCTCAGAAAGTAGAAAACAAAGACTAAATTGATAACAATAATAACATTTAAACCTACAATATGTAGCAATTACCATGTGCCAGGCACTAAATTAAGCCTCACACTACCCTATGAGGAAGGTACTATTATTATTCTCAAAACAGAAAATAGGAAACCTAACAAATTAAAGGACCAATCTAGGAAATTTAACAACTGACTAAAATCTTTTGCTTTCATTAACCCCCCCCCCCCCCCCCCGCCAGCCCACAACAAACAGAAAAATGCAGTGTGTGGAAAAGAAATGATCACAAATCCCAGAACTGAAAGAACAAGGAACAGAAGGGGTAGAACCCTTGTCTTTTAAAAATCTAAGTGCAAACATTTACAACTGAAATTATATGATGTCTTGGATTCCTAGAGGAGAACACAGGGAGTAGGTGGGGATACAGATGAAGTAAGACCAGCCAAGATTTTGTATGGGCATATTAATTTTGATATACTCATTAAGACATGAGTGGAGATGCCAACTATACATTTAGTGATGAAGTCAGGCTGAAGACAAAACTTCAAATATCAACAGCATTTAAAGGCATGAGGCTAGATGAGATCATGAGATTAGAAGATGGAAGGGAGCAGAGGGCCAAACAGAGCCTTATAGCACTTTAACATTTAAAGATCAAAGAGCAGATACTTTACTTTTAAGTTGTGATAGAACCACAGGGTAATATGTTTTAAAAAACATTACATATTGTTAGGAATGTATATTTAAAGGATAACAAGCTCTTGATTTATGTGCAGTACCTGTGAAAGCTTTTGTCATGTTTACCACTGAAAGTACATGCTATGGGAGGAAACATTTTTTTTTCACGTAAATTAATGGTGATCTGTGAGTTATAATTGCTTGAAAAGATTTTTCGGAATCAGTACACAGGGAGAAAAGGTGACAGAAGAGAGTGATCAAGTTCACTAGTTCCCACAGATGTTAAACAAGATAACACTTCTTAAAGCAGCGGTTCTCAACCTGTGGGTCGCAACCCCTTTGGGGGTCGAATGACCCTTTCACAGGGGTCGCCTAAGACCATTGGAAAACACATATATAATTACATATTGTTTTTGTGATTAATCACTATGCTTTAATTATGTTCAATTTGTAACAATGAAAATACATCCTGCACATCAGATATTTACATGACGATTCATAACAGTAGCAAAATTACAGTTACGAAGTAGTAACAAAAATAATTTTATGGTTGGGGGTCACCACAACATGAGGAACTGTATTAAAGGGTCGCGACATTAGGAAGGTTGAGAACCACTGTCTTAAAACTTAAAAAGTCGGATTACAAAAAGATATGGAAAAAATAACTCTCATCTGCTGCTGGTGGAAATATATATTAGTAAAACCTCTGTAGAGAGTAATTTTGCAATTCTAGAATAACTTAAATCCAGCTATTCCACTCTGCGTATATAACTGTCCTAAAGAAACCACTTGACGTGCGCAAGAGTGAAAAGACATTCACAGCAGCACTGTTAGTAACAGCAAAAACTGGAAATAGCCTAAATGCTCATCAATGGGGGAAACAAAAATAAAATATGATACACCCATATAATGGAATACCATCCACTAGTTAAAGTACATATTTATCATTGAGTATATTTCAAAAGTACAACGGTACATGGTACAAAGATACTGAATGGTGTATATAGTATAATACCATTTATATAAGTTTTAAGATTCATGATACTGGTTTCCTCTAGGGAGGTTGAGAGAGAAGGGAATGGAATTGGAAAGGTATATTAAAGGAGCTTCACATTTAGTAATAATGTTTTATAATATAAAAACTGAGGCAAATATAACAAAATATCAAATTTTATTGGTTCTAGGCAATAGGTACATAGTATCTACTATACTATCCTGTATACTTTTACTTTGCAATTGGGGGAAAAAAAGAGACTATGCATACAGTGCTGAATTCCTAGGTGGGGTAGGGGAGAGAAGGCACAATAAGCAAAATGTTTTCTGATATTGATTCAGTAACAAAAATAATGAAAAAATTTAAAATAAGTTTCTCATGGTCAACTGAACATGCATCTTTTCAGCATGTTGCATAAAAATAGGGAATATGAAAATAGGGAATAAACATGAAACGTTCAAAGCTGGCTGTAAAAGGCAAGAGTATTTTACTTGAGCTTTCAAAATGACAGATAAGCCCAACCTGTGTGGCTCAGTGGTGAGCACTGACCTATAAACCAGGAGGTCACAGTTTAATTCCTGGCCAGGGTACATGCCTAGTTTATGGGCTCAATCCCCAATAAGGGGTTGTAGGAGGCAGCCAATCGATGATTTTCTCTCATCACCGATTGATGTTTCTATCTCTCTCTCCCTCTCCCCTTCTCTCTGAAATCAATAAAAATATATATATTTTTAAATCACATAAGATTAAACTATTTCTTCACGGTACTGAACACTTGGTTTGTTCAAAGGCATAGAGATAAGTGATATATCCGGTATTGAACGAGCCTAAATACATTACTCTAGGGCTGAAATAACAGTTTTTAAAAGTTAAAAAGATGTGGCCCTGGACGGTTTGGCTCAGTGGGTAGAGCGTCGGCCTGCAGACTCAAGGGTCCCAGGTTCGATTCCGGCCAAGGGCATGTACCTTGGTTGCGGGCACATACCCAGTAGGGAGTGTGCAGGAGGCAGCTGATCGATGTTTCTAACTCTCTGTCCCTCTCCCTTCCTCTTTGTAAAAAATCAATAAAATATATTAAAAAAAAAAAAGTTAAAAAGATGTGGTACAAAGAGTTTGTCATATTTTTACTCTTTCCCAACCCATGATTATTTTCGTCAGTATCTGGAGAAAGAAACTGATGATGTAGTCATTAAACATAGTAGTATTTAAAAGCTACATCCAAGTGTTAAATTAAAACTGAATGTAAAGAAATACCTTCAGAGCTAAATACAATCAAATAATGGATTAGGTACTAATTTGGAACTAGCCTTTAAAATGAAAATTCAGTCTTCTAACTTTTGAGTGTGATGTGCTCATCAATGTAGTATCTGACAGAGAGTTGACAATACTCTTTAGTGAAAAATTTCTCCATAATTTCTGAGCCCATACTAAGTATAAATTTCTGACAGTCACTTGCTGCCATTCTGAGCAACTATAGTTCTGCATTAGGATGTCTTCACTTAACAGAAATTAAGTAAGAACAGAAACCAGCTGGATGCAAAGTTTAACTATGACTCAACTCTCAGGTCACTCTATAACACTGTTCACTTGAGGCAGTGATTCCCAAAGTGGGCGCTACCGCCCCCCGGTGGGCGCTGCAGCGATCCAGGGGGGTGGTGATGGCCACAGGTGCATTTGGGGGTGATGAGTAACTGCTATTAAAATTTTAAAAAAATTAATTTCCAGGGGCTGAGTAATATTTTTTCTGGAAAGGGGGCGGTAGGCCAAATAAGTTTGGGAACCACTGACATGAGGAAATACATTCTGACTTTTTTTTTTTAATTCTTTATTAGTTAAGGTATTACAAATATGTCCTTATCCCCTCCTACATTCTGACTTTTTAAAAAATATATCTTTATTGATTTCAGAGAGAAAGGGAAAGATAGACACATCAATGATGAGAGAAAATCATTGATTGGCTGCCTCCTGCACTCCCCCTACCGGGAGCTGAGCCTAAAACCCAAGCATGTGCCCTGACCAGGAATCGAACCCTGACCTCCTGGTTCATAGGTCGATGCTCAACCACTGAGCCACGCCAGCCAGGCACATTCTAACTTTTAAACAAAGCAGTTTTATGTGTAGACTGCCATTACTTCAACAACACTGGCAAAAAGAAAAGTAACAATAAAACTAATGATAGTAATATTTTGCATTTTATATAACACCCAAACTAAGACAATGATAAAAATAAAATAAAAATTAAAGCCCTGGCCGGGTGGCTCAGTT